TCAGTGATCTTTCCAAGGCCAAATGGGGCTGCACTGCCCAGTATGATGGAGACTGATCAAATAAATCCCACCGAGGACAGGTATCTGGATAGCTTCTTTGGATTTAACTGTTCCACTTCCTACTTTATCTCCCGCCACCAAAACACAACGTCCTTTTCCAGCCACTTGAGACTTCAGGTCCTATTACACAGTACCTAGAAGTGCATAAGAGAGAATATCGAACAATTTAAAGCCAAAGTAAATCTAAGTGGATGGGTGGCTGACAAAAGTAAAGGCACATGAATGCTTGGGCCCATGGAAAATATATTTAAGCAAGAATTATTCCCTTCCTTGTTCAAGCTTCAGGAGCAACACTCCTACGTTGTTGCAAACAGACTCTGAGACAAACTGGCAGCAAAGCTCAGCCCTCAGACAAATGTCATTCCCAGGAACTTGAGGCCACCAGTTCCAAGACACCTTTGTCACAAATGGATACAGGGGATGTTTAAGACAAACTCTCAAACGTGAAAAGGGCAGACTGTGGAGACAGTGATACAAATTAGGCAAATACTAGAGCACAGCCCTGTGCTTATAAGTGCTGTGGCATCCCCTGCTGCTGCATATATTGATGAACGACTCTGACCCCTTTGTACATTTCACAGGGCATTTTTAAAACACAATTAATAAAGGCATATGTTTCACTCAGACATTTCAGATAGCTCGGGGGACACAGATATGGCACTTTCCCTTCCAATAGCTGCCTGAGAGCTTCTCAGATGAAAGGTATGCCAGTGGAAACACCACCTAACCTAGTTCCTTCTGTAGCCTGACCGCTCGGGGATCACTGATCAGGGATGGAGAGCTGCCATCTTACCCTACAAGGGAGGGACTTTCCTCCACCGAGGAGCATCTGTCAGCACCCCGGTTATTACATCCTCGACCCAGGACTTGCCTCGGCCACAGCAAACCACACCAACTCAACAGTCCAGCTRTGGCACGGTCACGAAGAGGCACTAGAGGCTGCTCATTTCACGGATGTAGAACTGCWTAGGGCGCTTCCCTATAAGCAAAGCCCTTTGCACTGAGAGGGCTGCAACGAGCACAGCCAGAGGGAAGGCGGGACCTCCCAAGGTACCGTGAGCGCGCACTAAAGCTTAGCCCGACTCGGCTCGCTCCGCACCCGCCCCGCTCGGGCCACAAGGAGCCGCTCGGCTTCCCGCGGAGGCAGCGGCGGGCCGCGGGAAGGCGGGTCCCG